TCAAAATTCACACCCATGACTTGATCCTTTGTTTCTGAGATGCTGTTGGAGCTTCCTGACTTTAAGGCACAAATAAAATATGCGATGTGAGGCTGAACATTTGATTTGTTTATTCATTTCTGACACTATATAAACAGTGTTCATCCAATGGAGGAAGGCAGGACAGGTCCAACCTCAACCTTTGTGACGTTTTGTCGAGAAGGGGTCAAACCCAAACTAAATATGCGATTCATTTCCGACTGTCGATTCAAAACAGACGAGCCCATCCCATCCAACCAGTTCCTCAACATCTCAGCCACTTCAGAAACACACACCTTCATTCACCTGTCTGTCATCTGTCCCCACGGCTCACCAAGCGCACCGGAAAGAAACTCAGGAACAAACAAATAAACGTACACATGGAAACAAACAGACACAGAGAACAGCTCGGCTCTGTGGGTCTGCCATCACTTATCACGCTGTCGCCCCCTGTCCCAAACAGATCAACATACCACGACTGGCCACAAACCCACACTGTCACACACACATGCATACGCAGCCAGCTAACAGTGTACACTCTATGTGACCGTGCTTTGTGTATACAAACGGCTATCAGCTGACAGCAAAGTGCATGCTGAAGCTGTGATGTTCCCCCTGTTTGTTATACAGCGAATTAGCTAAGTTACGTTTGCAGCAACAGCAGCAATCATGTAGTTAGTAATGTGAGGTAAAGTAGGTTCACCTGTATTGTAAAATTGGTGAATTTAATTTGGTTTCTTAGCGAATAGTCCTACTTTAACGAGCTGTCTTGGAGGTTAGCATTGACGTTACATATGTGAAAGCAGAAAATGTCCCAAAAGCATAATTATGAAAACAAATGTGGGCGACATTTCCTGTCTATGTATTTTCAGCAATCTATTAATTAAGCAACTTCTCAGTCATGTTTTATAATATCACAAGATTTTATTTGGTCTGTTGCCTAATTGTATGGTTTCCTAACTTGAACAGTTTTCTATATATAGATATAAATAGCTTCAAATGTATGTATTTAATTTTTGAAATGGTATATTAGATCAACCAGTTATCGCAAAAACAATGACTCTCTTCAGTTGAATACATGGTTATAATAATCAACAAAAAAAGAGATAAATAAGAAAAAATCTTTATAAAATAATTTCTGACATGAATGCATTTGGTCACATCTTGTTTGGGAGCATTATTGTGCATTCTGTGATCACAAAGTAATAATGATAATAATAAAAAAGAAATAAATCCAGATGCACTGCATAATGTGTATCTTAAATTGCAGCCTTTGTAGTTTGTTTATTGTTTTAGATTGTCATTTTCATTTGAAATCAATGAATTGTTTGGGTTTAGAGTGAACTGCATGTGCGACTTTGCCACAAAGATCAGCAGAAAATTAATTATTAAAATAAATACAGTGAGAGAAGAGCCATTGCCGCTAAGGGCAGGGCACATCTGTCCTGCTTTCCAGAGCGCTTCATACTTTCCATGAACTTGTTCTTCCAAGAAATCCGCATCCAGCAGCTTGTGATTCGTCCCATTTCATAAGAATGAAGAAACTCAGGAAATATGTGCGCAAGCGAGGGCGGGGGGGGGCTTATCATTTCGTCTTATTGGGCACATTTTGATTGATCGAGAGCGTAAGAACACAGGTCTGTTTTCTATAAAGGGTATAAATGCGAGGGTGTCTCACCCTGTGTCGTCCTGCTGAAAACCCTCCAGCTCGTCTCTTTGCTCAGCCAGGGACGACTCCAGATCCAGATAGGTTCCATTGTGGGAGAGCTGAAGTGCACAGTCATCGAGCTGCGCAGAGACAGAAAGAAACCGCTTTTATTACAAAAGTATTAACAAATAAAATGAATGTGAATTAAGATCATGTGTTTAATTGAACTGAACTGAACAAAACTAAGCACAACAACAACAAGTTTATACCTACATAAGGTATGTAATGCCACGTGAAATCTCCTCTGCAGTGATGTATATACACCAAACACTCAGTGGAATGAGCCTCTGGGTTCACTTTTTCTAATGCCCCTAGTCTGTGTCTATGTTTCACACCCTTGTCTCAAACAGCTTGAGCCTGTAAAGTAAAGCCAGTTTACAGAGCAGGGATTTTAACACAAGTGGTGTGTGAAAAGACCAACAAGCATCCACAGCTTTCGGCATTACAAAGCTGTTTTGGGAATTAACTGCTAATAAAGGCTGCAGAACATGAAGTGGAACACAGACAGATTTTAGTACATCAGTGAGAATACGGCACTTCAAAATCGCTTAAAGTGTGTGCAATATGAAACTTTACCATGTTTGAATCATTCTTAACACGTGCACACCTCTGCACGTGGCTGATATGTGCTGATTCTGAGCTCAACATGTCGAGAACAGATCAATCTTGCGCCCGTGCCATGATCTATGGCAACATCGCAGAGCTGGCCTGTTTCAAAATTGACCCACTCTGCTGTGTAACGGGAAACCCTGCTGAGTTCGAGACCAGGTGCGCAGCAATATATCTGCACACGGCTGGCATTGATGTTTATGAGTACAGTCACAAGTTGATAGCAGGTGCGAGCAGCCATCCCGGGGACAGCTCATAAAACAAGCAACTCACATCATTACGTTGCAACAATCCACTCAAGAGTTTTGCAGCTTCTTGTTAAAGCCGCTCATGTATGAATAGGTGAATGAGATCAGAGTCACGCATTGGCATTTAGCGGCTCAGTGGTATCGGTGGGTTTAACCTAGCTTGGGGTCTGGTGTGCTGCCAAATGCCCCCCAACACACACACACATACTCGGCCATCCATTCAAAATGCTTGACGACACTTTCTGGCCAGCATCGGACCGCAGATCACAAGACCCGCTGCTGCTGCTCTCTGTCTGTCCCTCCTTTTAGTCGGAAACAGAGAGACGGACTGTCGGATGGACTCACAGCATAAATATAACCTTGCTATATTTACTCTGTTCTGAGGCAGCATGCACACAGGAGCTCCGGGGTGGGTGTGTCCGCAAGGGCACGGAGTTGAAGGGGGACACTGCCAAGGCCGAAATATTACAAAGGAGAATCTAAGAAGTCGTTCGTTTTTCAGGCAATCCCAGAAGTAATCACACACCATCGTGACCCAAGGTGACTTTGGGTACCGCTCCAGTTTCCCCTTCGTCTGTCACAACAACATTAATCCATCTGTGCCAAATACAGTAGCTAATCCACGAGGAAAACACTGTCACTGTCTCTAATTGCAGTTCTAATTGTTTTGGATTATTAAAATGCTGTCGTAGTTTTTTTTTTAAACCACTGATAGAAACAACTTCTACAAAATACAACAAATAAGAGTCTTTCCTGAAGGCAGCTCAGGAAAAAGACAATCATTGGATCTTCCCCTCGCTGCGCTATGATAATGCCAACATGTTCACCGGCTTAGTTTAGCATGCAAAGCAAACATTTGTAAATGAGAACACGGTGTGGAGTTCAGGCCGATGGGGATGTCTTTACTTTTGCAAATTTTACAACATAAGTGTCGGCATTTTTGGCACGATGACTCATTAAGAAGATCACCAAAGTCATTACAATTCATCGCGAGAGGGAGATGAATTTTTAGAAGCTGTCCAGACATTTCAGTCAGAACCACAAATGTTAACGTCAAAATGACACACGAGGAAAAAGTCAGGGGATCAGAAAAGTCAAAGGGATTCATTGTGTTTGAAGCAAATATAGACCGGATCAAACTGCTGTCTCTAGAGGCTGCTTGGCTGCTAGCGTGGCTCCAAAAGTGATGATACTTTAAGGACAATCTGTGTACTTTATCTCCAGCCACACCAGGTATTAAACCTAAGTTTGATGCTGTTGTTATTCTTATTTTCCTGCATGTGAGATTTGGTAAATCTCAGATTGAGGCACGGAGGGGTGGAGGGGTTAATCATGCCTCGTCCCACTGCCCCGCTTTTTAATGCATGAATAAGACAAAAGCAGTTCTTGAGGCCAATCTGTTTGCATTATTCAGCATTTTTTTAAACAATATTCCACCCAAATCTTTCAACAGTTTTTGACATTTTACAGATTTTCCCTGTTTTGGTAAATTACAGCTTATATCGAGGAAAAATCTTAGATACAAGTGTTCATTTACAAGTAAATAATAAAAGAACAGGCCAAAAGTGTAAATGATGTCCACATGAAAACTCTTTTTTATAACAACATTTCACTGCAATATTACATTTTTCTTTTTTTTACTGTATTTAAATCAGGAAAAAATTATTTTTGCTAATTTTTGCCATTATTTTAAAGGGAAAAAATGGCTATACTAAGGACTAAAAAAGGGTAAGTAGTTCTTTTTAACTAATATACTACAATTTTTTTCCAGTGATGTTAAAATACATGTAGTATCCTACAAAATCTCAGAAAAAATATAATAATTTACATGTTGACTACAGAAAAAAGACCAAAACCACACATAATGTCCACATCGAAAATCTGTGTTTTTTCAAATAGTAATGTGTTCTTTATTACTTTGACTCTGAATTTATTAGACTGTAAAATTACACTGTTTGACTGTATTTAAATCAGCAAACAATGTTTTACAGATAGTTTACCATTCTTACATGTTACAGCATATCACAGTTTTTGATGTATTTTTTTCTGGCACCTTTGCCTCCAAATTGTCACAATTTATTTATTTATTGTTTTACAGTGTAGCACTTTCCTATCTTAGCGTTACTCAACAGCATTTTCAAGCTTCCCATTCACACAATCACACAGTCACACACCAATGCTGATGGAGCTGCCATGCAAAGTGCCTGTCTTTGGGCTTCAGGATCTTGCAAAATCCCACTTCAACATGTGAATCAAACTGCCAGTTTTGCAAGACAACCCACTGAACCACAGTCACCATGAGAAAAAGTGAGAATCTGACGGGGGAAAAAGCATAGACTGTATAAAAGATGGACGTAGCAACCGGCCCTGAAAAATGAAGCCAACCCGGAAGTGTCAAAAACCTGCAATATCACTACGTCCACTAGTCCTGGCTCCAAAAAGCCCTGGCTCCCATAGACTTGAACTGGAAAAGAAGTGATCACAGATCATGAAATACTGCATTCCTCCAGCTCAGGATTTTTTCTTATTAGTTTTCATGGTCAAGTCCAGAGATCAGGTGGCCAATCTGAAAATAAATCAATACTGAATTTTTTAAAAATTGTCAAAATTTTGCGGGGCAAGGGGCGTGGCTGGCTTGATTAACAGTCGGCAGCGACCATACAGATGACGCGAGCAGAAGGCGGTAAATGTGGGCGGACAGAGAGGGCCCGCCTCTCAATCCGTCTAACCAATCGCTGCTCCTATGGCGCCGCCCCCCTCTGACGATTTTTGCCACTGGCTCCAAAAATCCAAGATGTCAACCAGGAAGTAGCAAAACCCTGGCTTCATTTTCTCAGTGCAGAAACCAACGGGTGACGTCACGGTAGCTACGTCCATCTTTTATACAGTCTTTGGGAAAAAGCCCATGAAATGAAGATAAATACCAAAAAATTCCTGAAAAAAATCCTGAAAAGCTCGTTTTTATATACAAGGCTGTCAAGTTATCATAGCGTAGAAAAAATGCATTTTTGCTTAACTATCAGTGTGTCTTTCTAATTCTTTATCCCACCCAGACAGACGGAGCTCCATCACCTCCAGCTGCCTTCTTGCCGCTCTGCTTTATCTACACAAATTACTCAATCACACAACTACTGCTTGGACAGCAAGAAGCGATCCCTTCGTAACACAATACGTTAGCAGCTCGCCCTCCAAAGGGTGTCTCTTTCCTAAAACACTTGGTTTGGGTAATCGGAGTAATAACATAACAAAACACATCACGCTGGACGTGGCTGAGCGGCGTCTCCAGAAGGAACCGCAGGCTGTTCGCGGCTCGAGGCTCCAGGAACCGGCCAGCGAAACACTTAGTGTCTAGTATACTTTGCACTCATTTAATCAAATTCTCCCAGAAGAGCAGAGCAGGGAAGAAATAGAAGGGAGGATCGGGGGGTAATTACTTCCATGTTAAAACAACACCCAGCCTGCTGGCGATCACCGTGGGTCGACGGCTAACGATACCCTTACGTAACTTAGACGACAAGTTTGTAAGAACTTTTTTTGTGTGTGTGTGTCAAAATCCGAGCCGCAGAGGCAGCGTGCTCTTTGAAGGAAACGTGGGGAGGGTGTGTTCTACACGGCCATTAAATCTCCCGATGTTGCTTTAATGGGAGCCCTTTGGTAATGAAATAAAAGTTAAGCTGTGAAGTCTGGGCTTTATTGTTTTTTCAGGGACTGGAAGGTTTTTCACTGCAGAAACGTAGCGTTCTGAGTGATGGTGAAGCTTCTTGCACTGAGCTGCACATCTGTCATTTTTGGTGTCTTATTACCTAATTTAACTCACTGATCTCTACATTTTGATGAGCTTAAGCCTTTTTTAGGCCTAAAAAAAAGGAGGGGGGAAAAAAGTGATGATCTCCTCTGTGAGAATCAAAAGGAAACTTCTTTGTTTGGACAAAATGACACATCCCAGGCACACAAACCAGTAGCACACTGATTTAGCCTTGGCAACCCCTTCTAACCTTATGTGTGTGTGTTTTGAGTGTACAAACTGGAGCGTGGTCAGAGAGGTGGAAGAGGAGATGGTGGACGAGGTCAGGAAAACCGCGGCACCCAAAAGTGAGGAGAACAAAGTGTCGCAGGGATCCAGGCCCCGGCCGCAGGAATTCTGGGACAAGTGACCTATACTTTACATGCAGCCCGGCCAGATATACACAGAGCTCTGCCATCACAACATAATAACACAGCAGGCTTTTCTAAGAGAAGAGCACAGAAGGTTAAAACAAGACCAGACAAAGAGCGTTTTAACAAAGGCAGGCTAAGAAGTGACGCAGAAAAAGGCGACGGGAATAGTCAAAAGCTGACATTTTCCAATAATATAATAACACTCGAGCCTTTATAAGCGCCGACTTTCAGATCTGGACAGTCTGGCGGGCAAATTTGCAACCATTCAGTTTCATCCCTATAATCTAAGCGCAATATCCAGTTGCCGTTGCGCGCAGCCTTCCTGCTGATGTGAACAAAATTGCAAACACGAACGCAGGCTGCGCCATCTGTCCACGCATAGGTTGTAATCATAAGCTTTTCTGTGCTGCGGGCCATTTTTCATTTGTTTTGTGGTTTTTAAAGATGGGGCAAGCAAAAGATCTACTGGTTTGGAAAACCGCTCTGCTTGTTGAACGCTGGTTTGCTGTCAGGGCTGCGTGCCAGCAGAATTTTTTTTTCTTTTCATTCTGTGTCTTCACTTTTATTCTCTATTCAATCTACATTTTCAAGTTGAACTGTGTAGCATCTGTAAGTATTTGCTCTACTTGTATGGGTGTGCTCAGCTGTTTGTGAGTCAACCTTGTCAGTAAGGAATGTGTTGCTTTCTGGGTTGCTTTAAATTCACTCTTCCTCCCAGTCACACCCATCACATTTTGATGATTTTGACTAAAATGTGATCATCTGTGATCTGGGTTGCTGGGTGGCATCATGACCGACACAAGATGAATGATGCAACTCGGGATGGATCTAGTTGCACCGATGCATTTGCAACCACCTGTCACTGCTACAAGCGAAGCAGAGTGCAAAAATACAGCAGGTTTATTCACTGAATACCACTTTAGAGACAGGGATGGATCTTTTTTCTTTTTTTTTTTTTGAGGGAGGGGGGATTTCCCCTCAACAGAGAGGTCAAAAGTGTGATTTGAGATTTACTGGAGCTGGAGGTGGGCCAGCATTTTTGCTCAGTGGCACTTTAGTGCAACAAATGTGTGCCCACATGGGATTAAATCGGTATGTTTAATCCAAAACAAGTGAAGCTCATGTTTGATGTTGCTGTGGGCTTTGAGGCAAACATTTGCAACCTTGTTTCACTCCCCTGGAAGGAGAACCAATCAGTTGTGCTTGCATGTGTTCTCAAAATAGCCTCTGAATGGTGGTTATGGAAGTTTATTTGCAAGAGAGAAACTTCAACCTCCTGCAGTTCTGCTGTAGTCATAAGATTAGAAACAGAAAACACCAGTGATCCTAATTCATTTGAAGAGCTGTGATCTCGTTGTGTTGGATCACTGCTCTAAATGTATGTCTGTTTCCATGTGGTTAGTTAATAGACTGGTACCTTGTGTGGAGCCTTGAGGAGCCGGTGGACGCCTGCGAGCTGGTTGATGAGGGGGATATCCTCTCTGAAGGTGTACAGCGGCGGTCTGGTCGGTTCTGGGAAATTGGTGCTGTTGAACGGATCGGTGTCATCTAAAAACTGAACCCTGCAGACAAACGTGGCCATGGTGCATCCATGCAAGTGGTTCCACCGAATGGGGGGGCAGCCCGGTTTTAAACGAGAGCTGGACCGGCTTTGGGCTCCGCTCTGCTGCTCTGTGCGCTCTGGCTCCTGGTAACGACAACAAACCTCCGGTCGCCAAGTGTGCGTCCTGCGCGCAGCCCGTCTCCGTCCTCCCGCAGGACCACGAGTGGAAGGGGAGTGGATGCCCCGAGAAATGTGGCACGGGATCTCGCCTTTTTTCTTTCTGTTTTTTTTTTTTTTTTCTTCTTCTTTAATGCCACCGTGTTATTCTCGGAGAGGCAGGTGGCAGCAGGCGGACTCCAGCTTTGGTGCCGGAGAGTGAAGGATCAGCGCAGCTTGGGACAGCCGGTCTGCTGTCTGTCTGAGTCCCAGTAAATCCACCTCCCTGCCTCCCTCCCCTCTCCTCCTCCTCCTCTTCCACCCCACCGTATCTATTTTCCCCTCCGCCTCATCTCTCCCTCCTCCCCTCCCTTCAGATCACTGTCTCCGGCTTAGCGGCGGCTCTCCATATGAAAATGACCTGCACTAATCCTGTGATGAATTTATTTTAGAGGAAACACAAATATATACATATGAAATGATGACAGATGATGCCATCCCAGAACTACAGGATGGACACCACTATGGACACCAAAAAAAAAGCATAAAAGTGTACACACATATGTTCATTGTGTCTCACAGCTACAGCTCAATAATTCTATGTAACTGTGCTATAATAATATTTGCTCTGAAGAGTTCTGCTGCAAGTCAAAGAGCAATCTGGACCAATGTTGACCTCTGGTGGTCAAAGTGTTCAAATACAAGCGCTCTTTTCAGCTTCCTTACTGTTAAATACGACATGAGTAGTTGCTTTCAGTGATGGAAGAAGGTTCAGATCCAGCAAAATAAACAAACTCCATTACAGTTAAAAGTCCTGCATGAAAATATTACTTAAGTAAAAGTACATAATTAAGTATGAGCAGAAAAAAAAAATTACACTTAGAGACAGACAACCAAGCACACTCACATTCACACCTACAGACAATTTAGAATCACCAATTAACCTCAACATGTTTTTGGACTGTGTGGGAGGAAGCCGGAGAACCCGGAGAGAACCCACGCTGCACGGGGAGAACATGCAAACTCCATGCAGACCTTCTTGCTACAGTGCTAACCAACTGCGCCACCTTGCAGCCCAGTACAAAGTATCATAAAATAGAAATACCAACACCTCAAAACTGTACTTACATACAGAGCCTATGTATGAGTAAATGTACTTAGTTACTTTCCACCACTGGTTGTTCTGTATAAATACTAGTATACACGCTGTAACTGAAATGAAGCCTCTGTAGAAATATTCCAGATTTCTGTTTGTTTGAAGTAACAGTAAGTCTGATTTTTTTGCAGATGTTCATTTTAAGGTAATAATTAAATGATGTTGTTTTACACTGTTGTAATTTGGTAATCACAAGACAACAAAACAAAACAATAACAGCTACAGACAAGGACTAAAAACTGACCCACACCAGTGAATTTAGAGTGGAGGTTTTTACAGGCCTCAGCCTGGCAGGGCCGGTTGTCCAGTAACCACAGTGTTGCTCACCTCCTTCCACTGGATCTTCCTATCATGTCCCAATGGTGTGTGAATGGATGAACGAGAGGCAAATCATAAAATGCTGTGGTTAAAGGTGCTGTATAAATTCAGTCTATTTACTGTTAAACACATCACTCAGTCGTTGGTCTGTTGCTGCAGACGTCATCCGTTTATAGCAGTTAATGCACTGCGTAATGGAGATGAAACGTGAGGAAACCATCGGCAAACACCTCCTTGGGACCACTGGAGGGCAGAAAGCTGCTATTTTTTAACCTCTAATGAACCAAGGTGAAAAGCATCCACACATCGTGCACTTCAGATCAACGACAGGCCGTAAAAGAAAGCTTAAAGTGCAAAGTGTTCCCCATAAACCCAGACAACCACTTCCTTACGCTTACTATCTTATCAGCGGCTCTCGTGCTTTCTCCACCGTGGTTGGGGGTCATCTGTGTTGTCTTAACTCTGGCTGATGATCTGCAGGCACACCTCGATGCTGTAGATAAACACAGAAAATCATCTTGAATCAGAGAATTTGCAAATGTTTCGTGGTATTAACAGGATTTGTGCAGTTCAACTGAATTTTGTGGCTTTCAACACAATTTTTTTTTGAGTCCACAGGTTCTTGATGTGGTTTTAGTCAGAACTTTGAGGAGATCAGTCTAAAACGCTAATTCAAGCCCGATTTAATGATTTCTTTATCATTTTTGATCCGTATTTGGGGTCATTGTCTTGCTGAATCACTTAGCTGCATCCTTCTGGCTGATGATCTTAGGGTTTCCTGAAGACTGTGCTGGTATCTTCCTTTGCATTATTCCATTTCCTTTTTGTAAAGCACAAGTTCCACTAGCACCAACACTTCCCCAGAGCACAATACTGTCACCCCCATGCTTGACCGTAGTTAGAGTGTTCTTAGGGTTTAGGGTCTCAACATGTTACTGGTAGAGTCACTGTGGCTACAGAGTCAGTACCAAACTATTTTATCCTTAAGAGACATTCTAGTTTTTCGTGACAGTAATTGTGGCGGAAAACTTGTCTAAACCTCTAAGCTCCTGTCTGTAGTCACACATTTAAGGTATGTTGTCTTGTTTCCAGTAGGTTACTTTTTAAGTTATGGATGCTGCACATTCACTCTGTAGTGAATAATTTGTAGAGAAACGTCATAAAAACTGCGTTAAAATTCAACTTTAGAATGCTGGCGTAACGCAGAAATACATTATGAGGTAAAGATTTTGGATGCATGAAAGCAGACTGACGCATGGTGAATTAATTATATTAAATGAACACAATCACACAAATTAGGGTACATTTCAGCTAAATGTGCGTGTCTATTAAACCCTAATACAGATATCCTATTGATTACTGGCAGCAGTATTTTATGATGGGGACACACATGGTCACTCCGTCGCATCAGGATGGTCACTGAGAGATAATCTCTAAGGTGAAACGTGCACAACGCAGTCTCGCATACCATCAGCGCTCGTGATCCCTGACAGCTGCACCGAGGCTCTTCCCAGCCCTTTATGAGTAAGCCTGCCTTATATTTGGGCTCAGTAGACTAGATTACCAGACTATGAGACTGGTTCTACCCAAACCTGGGCTTAAAGAGCAGTACCCGGAGAAGGATGGAGGAAGAGGAGGCCCAAAGGGGACAACGAAGCCCAATAACTGCTCCACCTGTGTGGGCATCTGGGTAACGTCCAGAGGTTCCAGCCGTGAAGGAGGTAGGCTCTTTTTTACTTATAAATATATAATGTAAGCATTTATAAATTAATACTTGAAATGCAGATAGACAAGGCTTTGCAGTGGAAAATTTTAAATGTGTTTGCAGAATAAAATTAAATACATTGATGAGCATTGCATTTTAAGTTCTCATTTGAAAATACAAATTAGAATGTGTCGTAAGTGTCAATTGTATGTCACTATAGTTTTAAAAATGAAATTACAATGTACTAAATGTTGCTTTAATCACATCTTTAAATCAGTGTAGGTGTATTTTTTTTTAAGGACAGGAATCTGGTGCGAGAATATAAAACCTAGAGAGAAACCACTAGGCGTACATAATCCGAAATGCAAAATAGCCCAATAAAACCATCACGGTGAGACTAATTTGTGCACTTAAAGGGATTTGTGTCAAACATTAACTCTTACAGGTGAACGGAAATTGCTATATAAAGCTGAAATGTCCACTTTATTGCAGAGAACTACTGATGCGTCTAATGGCTGTAAATAGAATTTTTTGAGCCAATCTTCCATTTAACCTCAGAGGAGGCGGTTTTAAGTTTACGCCGTTTAGTGACGGGAGGATCTAAATGACTGATGCAACAGGGAGGGATGAAACAACAACGACTGGCTTAATGGAGCGGATGAGGCGTGTTTTCACTGATTCCTTGAACTTTACCTCATGACATGATCACATGTAAACACAGCAATGGCCTTGTAGCCTGACAGGTGATCAGATATCACTATTGCTACACAGACATGCCAGCCAGAGCAGCAGGAATGTCACTACTATATAGAAACTGTACTACGGAATACATAATCTGCAGCATTTTCATAAAACTCCCTGTTTCGCACCTCTTATTTATCAGCTAATTGAGCCCAAATCAAATCACACAACTTGAAAACAAGTTAGTTGAAAAAGAAAATGAACTGAGAAAGAAAAGCAGGATTAGAACAAAGGATTTAGAAGTGATTGAAAAACACAAGACATGTCTGAAAATGTGGAAAACAGAATGCGATCGTAGACAAACTAAACATATACAGAAACAGGAATTGCAAATGGTCAAAATAGATTCAAGCTGTGAGAAAAAGAAGCAAGCAGATAAAAAGAAGTCTTCTCGTTTATATCCCTCTTTAACAGGAATGAAGGGTGCATCTTCAGTGTGCTTCAGCTGCTCTGTGAGGCTGTATGTAGCCAAGTATCAGTTGATCTGAGCTAAATGTCAGAATGCTACGAAGGGAGGTCAAAAAGTTTGTCAAACAGGGTGTTCAGCCAAGCGTAACACAAAATGTCTTTACATATCTAGACAATGCAACATCTCACTCGTTCAAACACATCAAGTTCACTTGTCACAACATACTTGTGTGATTCGCGGCAACATTCTATGTTGATGACAGTCAAATAATGATGGAAAACCTACATTTTGAGTTTAGGGCGGTCGTAAAGCTCCCCACAAAAGAGGGATCAAATGCCAAAGAAATTCATCAGTGGCTGGCTGAGGTATACGATGATTACAGTCCTGCCTATAGTCCTCCCATCCAGATGATTTTTACCTGTTTAGAAATTTGAAGTCACATTTGCGCAGAACCAGATTTCCTGATGAGCTCAAGGCTGCCACTGAGGCATGGTTTAAGAACCAAACTGAAGACTTCTGTTTTAAAGGTATAGACAGTCTGAGGCAAAGTGGGCTCGGTTCATAGAGGTAAATGGGAACTATACTGAAACATAATAGTACAATGCGTAGTCTGCTGCTGCAATATATATACCTCGTTCTATTAACTTTTCAACCACCCCTTGTCACGTGCTCACAGTGACGGTGTTAACGTGGACGAGTTTATCAGTTTAAAAATAGTCACAATCTTAGTTGAGCATGGCAGCTTGACAACATTAGTCAGTCGGCGAGAACGTCACATTATCAGATTAAAGATTTTTGGCATGATGATAGCGCGTAGTTAAAGGTTAACAGATCACCAAAAGGATTCCATTTCTGTCTAAGGGTGCATGAATGTGCTGCTTGCCACTGCAGGAAATTGCTATCTGTTTTAGACTGAAATTTTGTGCATCTTCTGACTGCAAGAACCATC